GTTAAAAGGCACAAACCATAAATCATGGTAATTTCCCAACCTGCTTAAGTGTGTCTTCCTCTTATGAATACAATAAATTAAAAACAAATGCCCAAAAAAAGCAATATGTTGCACAAGCTGCAAAGAGTGTGGGGTCTCTTTCAAAGTGGGGGCGAGAGGACAGGGAATACCCTGAAGGAATAACATCTAATGCAATCAGATCGCTCTGGCCAATTAGTCAGTGTAGCCTAGCCAGAGATGATGTCAGTCATCATTACTCATTGCTTAATGCTATAAAGCAGGAGGTAATCAAGAGCAAACAAAGAAAAGAGCAACAAAAGTGGGTCGGAGTTAGGAAGGACAGTGGATTAATCATGCAGACAGTAGACAAGCAGTCTGTGTGAATAATGGAGCCCACACAAAGAGTCTTAAGTTCCTAAAACACACACTTTATTTGATTCTCAAGTACATATTAAAGAGTGTATGCACACAAAGACACACAAGACAAAAATGCAGACACAGGACATTGCACCCCCATCCCCTTGCATGCGCTCACGCTGACAGACACACATGTATGGCTCATTAGTAACAGCCCCACATCATCATGTTTTTTTCCGTGCTGATGGCTGAATTCCAGTCAATACCCCACAGCTCCATATGACATTTCACGTGCATATGCATTCAGTATGTTATGGAGCACAAACACAAACTGTCTCTCTGTCGCATAGTCACCCACGTACTATAGTGCACACACACACACACACACTCACACTCACACACACACACACACATACACACACACACACACACACACGTATAGATGAAGGTATATGCTGTATTAACAAAACAAACATGCAGACAGCTAAACACTGAATCACACACTTAAATAGAGTACAAGAATACACACAGTGATGTTTATCGGGACGGAGTAATGGAACACAGTGGCGTAGCTGAGCAGAGATATACACGCTGATTAGCTCCTATGGGGGAAGCCATTGGACCTTCTGTATGATTATTGAGTTTGACTTCAACATCTCTCCTTTGTAAACAGACGGCAGCTGTATGGAAGATAAGGCACTGCTGCTGGTGCAAAAGTGTTATTCCACTTATGTGGTTGAAAATTCCTTTTTTACATGTCAACTGTGCTAAAAATGTCTGTCTTTATCAATGCTAAAACCCGCTTTGACAAATGGCGTTTGGCAGGAAAAACAGAAGATGTGTCGTTCTGCTCTGACCGCAAGGTTAATGCTGCAGTTTTAGGTCGCACCACATATGAGGTCAGTTAATATGGAAACTAGATCATGAGACATCTCAAAGGTTAACAAGTCTGTTTGTTGGATTAGTGCAGTTCCTGGCAAGCTGGAGCGTGACCTTTGATGATGTAATTAGTGATCTCATCAAATGGTGTCTCAATTCATGTATTACCTTTGCCATGGCAACGACAAGTGTGGTTTGCAGTTATGAATGGAAGAAGGAAGCCCTTCCTTTTTTTCGACAACCCCTCATCCATAAAACCGTAAACCTTCACAGTCAAATTAAAAGTCAATCAGATGAGGGGTTGTTGAGAAAAATCTAAATACAGACAGACACACAGTGATTCCTCAATTTCCTCCATTCATGGTAAAATATACTTTACATTAAATCCATAGAAGATAAATACTAAATAAATTTCATTTCATCTCTGCCCATCCTGACCAGAGCTCTATGGTAGAAGAGCTATTCTCAATTGCAGATTCCTCGTTAAATTAAGGATAAATAAAGAAAAGAAAACTCCTGAGCTCAAATACAATCTCGACTACAAAGTTCCCCCACCTGTGTTAAGACAATATTTCCTACTTTCTGACAATTCACACAAATTTGTGAAATGTCCTGACTAATATCTTTACACAGGAGACATGATTATACATTTTTCAGACCAGAGTGGCCTTGGTGAAAACATTCAAATAAAATTTTACTTCAATGTGTTTTATTCCCTCTCTTTTGTTAAGATAATTGTGTACATGCAAAACGTTGAAAATATCTCTCTTTTCATTCATCGCTCTGCCCCCTCTACCTCTCTCTCTCCCTGTGATTCAGAAACAACCAGCGGACTGGGTGAACTCAGCGACACTGGGCAGGGTAATTATGTAATTGTTTGGTGTTCAGAGACAGCACTGGTGTGTGTGTGTGTGTGTGCGTGCGTGTGTGTGTGTGCGTGCGTGCGTGCATGTGAGACAAAAGCAGGGCTGAGTGAGACTTGAGAGGGGGCACGGATAGAGAACAGAGGAGAAAACAGCAGAAAGAAGAGAACAGAGGAGAGACAATGAGAAATGGATGAATCAGTAATACATTTAATTAGTTCCTTCTCCTCATCTCTGGCCAGCACAAAATTAAAAGAGAATATTACAATAATGCAAGTTACCACATTTTCCTCTCCTCATCTCTATGTATCCTCCTCTCATCTTTTTTCTCTCACCACCTCCTCAACATCCTCATGTGTCTCACTTTCCAGCTTTCCTCTCCCCTCCCTCCTTCCTTCCATCTCTCCCTCTCTCTCTCCCTGGTCTGGGGCAGCTGCTGTTGCCATTGGCAGTCTCAGGTGTGTGTATACGTGTGAGTTTGTATTTCCCTTGCTCCTCAAACCCAATTCAATCCAAGCCCAGATCAAATAAAGTGGAGCACAGCTTTCACAAGGAGGCAGAGAAGGGGAAAACCATACTAACATATTGAGAGAGAGGACAGTAAAGGAATGACCCCTTCATTTTACGTCTCTTTCTAAACGTAATTTATGTAAAGTTATTTTTGTTTGACTTACATTTAACTGATAATCATATGAGACTCCTGCCATTTGCAACCTTTGTCTACAATAAAGACATCCAAGCAAGCAAAATGTTTTAGGGAGCCCTGGGGATTATCAAATTATAGCTCCACTTAAACCTAGGTTAATACATATTTATTATCTAATATCATTCGAAAACATTCAAGTGCCATGAATATTGACGTTAATTCAACAAGTGTCAAATTTGTGCATGGTTAGCAATAAAATAAAGCAAACTGTAACAACGTTTAGTATTATTCCTATGATTAGAACCAAGAAACAGAGTTAGAAGAAATTATAAGGAAATTATCAAGAATTTACAGAATTTACACATGTTAATTTGTCCAAGATGTCTAAAGGTATAAGGTATCATTTTATGAATTTTATATTCTTAAAATCAAGATATAAAGTCTAAATAGTGATGTAGTTTCCAGAAGTAAATAGATACTGCAAGACACACCCATATCTAAGAAGTAAATAGTGCTAATCGCCAAATAATATTAAAAGCAGAAAATGAAATGGTTCAAAGAAAAAAACCATGTGTTGTTTTCTATACCTGATTATCCCAACAGCTACAGTGGATTCAACATGGAGTCATATAAAAGAAACTATTTTTTAACAGAGTCAACAAAAATAGAAGTCACATAATCATTATTTTATAAACTAAAATTCAGAAGTGTGTTATTCATTACTTGCAAAGATGAATAACAAAAGCCTCTAGGGCAAAAATCTTAACACAAACCTTGAATTCTGACTCTACATCGCTAACAGGCAGCGAGACAAAAATGGATCCAGCCCCTGTATAGCTGACTGACAATCTCTATATAGTGCTCCCATTAACAGCCATTTTCTGACATGTGTTGATCACCACGACGTGCCACCGGCGTCATTGTTTGAGCCTCGAGACTGTCAGCCCTCCATCTGCTCATTTCTGAGGCGTTCTGCTCAGAGAAAGCCAACTGTCAACGGCGGATTTACAAAAGAGAGAGAGGGAGAGGAAGCAGAACGACGGCAAGAATGAAATGTTTAATTTCTATCCAGCCCAAGTCTGCTGTGTGAAGGAAGGAGGAGACTAGCGAGGGAACATAGAGCCGAGAGTTTGAATTAAATTTATCAAATGAGGCTCCTTTGTAGCAGCATTTTGATGTAATTATATACTTGTCTTGCATTTGTTTCATCTACATCTATCTTACCTTTGCTTTATACTTTCTCTCTGATGCTCTCCTCGTTTACACCCCTCCTCCCTGAATTAGTTAATTTAATAAACTAATTAGGCTGTACTTCAAAACATATTTGTATAGTTATGAGGCAAGTCCCAGAGCACACTGAGGTACACACAGAAAAATCTAATGATGCTGCTGGTGAGTCCAGTACAACTGTATAGTAATATACAAAATACGGTTTAGCAAACAGCAGGTACGCAGGGATGAGACTCTGAAGATACTTTAGGTTTGGTAACTTTTTGAAAACTGATTAAAGAGAAAAGGAGAGAGGAGAGGAGGAGAGAGGAGAGGAGATGAAGACTGGCTCCCTCACTGTCCTCAGTAAGTCCCTCTTTTCACTCTTCTCCCCCTCGTAGGACAGAATGGAGCCTCAACACACAGCTGGTGAGACGGAGATAAAGGAGTGACGGAGGGGCTTCAATAGATACAGTGGAGGGTGAGGATACAAAACGGAGGGAAAAGGGGGGGGGGGATCCAGCTCAGTTAGAGAATGGGGAGAAGGGCGAAAGAATGAAAGGGAGGGAGGTTGGCAGAAGATGAATCTGCAAAAACTGAGTTGAGAGACATCACAGTGGGAGGGTTAATCGAAGAACGAGAAACATAAAGAATGCGATGAAAAGTCAAATCACATGAAGGGAGAAGAAAGAAGGACGGAGAAGGATACGTGCAGAAAGGCTCGGACAAGAATATCCTCTGGGCCACATGCACATAAACCCAAAAAACAACTGAGTACATCTGCTCTTGTGACTATTTCACATTATAACTGTATTAAATGTTCAACAACTCAAGGGTTTCTGACTAGGAACTTAGGCTCCAAAGGGTTTCAACAATAAATGTGACCTGACACAAGATAGTTTACAACAGACAGAATCATACAGTAGAGTGTAAACTCACATTGTTGTCAACGAGGTTAGAAATTTAAGATGCCAGTTGTCACCATTCATTTGACTTTGTGGTTGATGAGTTTTACTTTCACGCTACAAACAGAAGTTCCATCCTACCTGAGCAGAGGAGGCAGAGCCACTTGGGCGGAGTAGGTTGAGCCTGCTGCTTAGTTGAGAGCTGTCACCCGACTGGAGCCACAGTTCCTGGTGTGTAGTCTGGATCTCTCCACCAATGGGAGGGAAGCGTCTGCGATGCCTGCGCCGTCTGTCCACGTCTGTCTGTCTGCAGGTGCTGTCACCATTCCCTACAGGAAAAACAGAGAGAGAAGGAGGAAACATTAACACACATTTCAAATTCATTGCTAAGTATATATTCTACAACACTTTGCGGAATTTATTGAGGTCACAGCTATTGCTTGTTCTACCTCAATCATCATCATGCATAATGACCAAAAACTTTACAGTCTTCCAAACTGGACTGAATTTTTACGACAACTGTAGGATAGATTGGAAGGGGAGGGTGAGGTGAGGGGTAGTCAGCTGCAACATGCAACTCCACCACTGGATGTCACTAAATTCTACACACTGAACCTTTAATCTCTTATATTCAGATCTTCAACTGTCATCTTTAAAACTAAGAATGCTAAACTAGTCTTTCAGCAGACACTTCGGTAAGAAAGATAACTACGAAAACAATCGGGACAATTGTCTCCTATGACATATGGGTGTGTAAATTCACACAGACAACTTGTTGACTTTGACTTGATATTATTTGACCCTATATCTACAATGTGAGCAGAGTCCATCTTTCCAAACACACATTGTCTATTTTGCATTAGTTGTTCCTTCAAAAGATTCTCATGATTCCGTGCAGTGACTATCACTGTCCCCCTGCTATTCCCTCTTCGTGTCACTCTCTCTTAGGAGTATTCAGAACAAACACCCATGCTATTTATACACTGACGCCCCATCGGCATGGCAACCACACTTTGTTTACCCGCAAGAGACACTGGTTTGAGGCGTGTGTCCTCCTTTTTTTCTCCAAACAAAAACAGTTATTTGGAGGCATTTAGCTCTCTCTCATGAGCCTGGCTGGTTTTCTGGCGAGGACGGAGTTTCACTTGAACCAAATGCCTCTGGTAAACTGAGAGCTGTTGTGATGAAATGGAGAGCTGGTGACAAAACTAATATTTCTGGGGGTAAAGAAAATGTGTTGATTTTGTTGTTGTTTGGTTCTTAGCCCGAAAGGAGTACTTGCATGTTTTTTAAATTATTTTTTATTCACAACAAATAGTTAGTGGTTTTTCTTCTAAAGTGATGATTAACAGTCACAAATATGTCTGGTCGTGTCGAGAGGAAAATTGGCCGAGGGCTGTGTTTGGTCAAGTCATTTGTGCAATGTGAAAATATGCCTTTTCACCTCATGTTGGGGCATCATTACAGTATTTATAAAAACACTGTTGTTGTAAGAAGTTAGCAAGAAAAAAAGTGAAACATACTCGCTGATGAAGTGATTGTTATATTCTGAAGTTATCCTCCACATTTCTGTGACTGATTGCACTGCGCACCAAACAAATTACCACTGATTAAAAAAAGAATTATAGAGTGGGTTTGATCGACAATTTTCTTCTCCTCTCAAAGTCATCAAACAATGTATCAGCATTTGGCTGCTTACCAAACTTTTTCTAAGTTTTCTCTGACAGTTGACATATTTAAAACTGTCTTTGAGGTCACCTGTTACAGATGTAATTATTGCCTGTTTGACAGACTTCCACCTTGTTTGAAATCTGCAAAGTAAAAGACAAAAAGTCATGTTCACTCGTCGTGAAATAAATTCCCTGTGGCAGCAGAACATGTTACACCAGCCTTCAGAAACTCCTGAGAGTTAAACTGGGCACACAAGAGGAAACACAGGCAGATCATCTCTTAAAGACTCACTATAGACAGGTACAAAAACACACACTACCCTAGTAACACAATGAGGCTTCGAACAACCCATAATGCAACATTCTGGAAAAGACTGTAGTTACAATGGCACACCCTCCATTCAAACAGAGTAGTTGTTGTAATCATGGACTGTAAATAAAGATAAGCGGCGCATCTCCTCTTCCTCACACTGTCCAGAAATTAAGCTTAACTATCCCTGATATTAATGCAGGCCTCTGTCATGTAATCCATCTTTATACAAAGTCTATAGTTGTACTTTCTGTCTTACTTGGTTTAGGTTTCTGCACTAAAATGGGGAATATAACAGTGAAAACCCAAGAAGACTATTGCATCATATGTCATCCAGGCGTGAAGCGAAATATAAGAAAAGCGTCCCTGAAAATCAGATACTAAATTTTCAATAGTAAATAAATGTATCAGTGCCTGAAAGGATGCAGAAGCACGGGGAATCATACTTAGTGCACCAACCCACTGCAATAAAAAAGTAACCCTGGAGGCCATTACTATAGGGACAAAGACGTGTCCCAAGGTCACAGGGCAGAGCTGAGCATTAAGTTGAACCCTGAAACAAGGCATCTCCTTGAAAACAAAATCAGGTCAGTTGATCATGTGACAACCAGGCCCTGGGGACAGAAACTGCCACTAAAGCACACTGCTTGTCCATGTTTTTACTAAGTTGACATAAACGCAACAAGTGTACAAATGCATGCACACACACACACACACACACACACACACAC